CACTGTGATCAATGTAGCCACTTGTATCTCGGTCTTTACTTAGTTTGCTACAAAATATTGTTTCAGTCTGTCAACATACCCCTCCCTGTTGTCCTGCATAAGGTCAAACGGTTCTATTTTGGCGATGGTTATTTTGTACACCAAACTGATAGGTACTTGTTTCCCGTTACAATCCACGAAACAGCTTTATTATACGCGTGAAATCTTTGAGCCACTGATTGTCTCGCGCATTAAAACACACGACCGTTCTTTAATCGCTTTATTTTAGGACTAGCGGGCGGTACAATAACAACTTATGTCTACATACGTTATAAGAATATATAAAAACAAACAAACAAAGATATGAAGACATGGCTTAAAATACAAGCATCCAAGCCAAAAGTCTTAATAAAAAAGTACTTAACGCTGGCAGAATCCATTAAACGTATTGGTTATATTCTCTTTGGAATCCATTTGTTGCGTTGTTGCCACTTGCCAAACTAGGAAAGAAATATTTGAAGTGTCACTGTCAGTTTGACATTGATTAAAGATTTTTCAGAATGGGGATCCACACCATAGACTAATATATAATACTGGAGATAGACTGGCAACTGAAGTTTTCATATTTAGTTACCGTTCAGCGCCCTCTGAACGCGAAGCAATGAACTAAATGAAACATTATATATATATATATATATATATATATAGTTGCGTATATGGCAATATGTATAGGTACTTACGTATGAATTACTGTTTTATTTATAGATAGAATATTTTATCTATAAATAAAACGGCAATTCATACGTAAGTACCTATACATATTATTTATATTTCGTTTTAGATACTTAAACAGTGTTTTGAAGTAAGCATATTTTTGGTGATGTTTTTAGACACACAAGTTTAAGTATCTTTGGGTATTCGGGTAAAGGTAATGAGATAAATAATACGAAAATATATAATTCAATAAATTTATTAATTATACATTAATACATTAATTTCGACGCCTTTTTGCCTCTCGTTTCGCACCCTTGTAATGTTCTCGAGCCTGTAGGAAAATGGAGACATTTTCATCACTATCATTACATAAATTATAATAGCTCTTGCCATTGAGTATATTGCTGAATTCGTTGCACCAAGTAATTATGAAGAACACAACACTTTTATGGACCAAATATTTCTTTAAATTTTCTTTGTTTTTCACATTTCATAAAATTTAAGTTGATGTAGACAGAACAGCATGATATATTTAACAATGTTTTCTACATGTGCATTTATTTAAAATATTCCATGTTATGTGTTCTACTTGTGCAAAAAAGTCAAACAATAACCGGGTAGTATAGCATAACCATCTTTTGCCACAATATTCTTTTTTTATTATAAAATAGTGAAAATCTTCATTATTTGATGATATTAAATTATTTTGACATGTTTTACATTTTTTAAATATAATTTTTTTTGCTTTGGTTGCTATCTACCCACTACAATAAACTATGGCCGCGCATTTCTCTACATGAACTTGGGAACGGCTTTCTCGAATTTGTTGTGTATTTATTAAATCAATATTTAAATGTTCATTGATAATTTCCATTAAGTCATTAGCATCTTCCACATTACAATTTTGGTATATTAAAGATTTTTATGATTTTAAACATATACTGTCATATTATTCACAATTTCCTTCTAAGGAGTGTGGGAATGTTATATTAATTTGTTAATAATGTTTTAAATGCGGTTTCAAAAGCCGCTGACTTGGGCATTACATTATTATAGCCATGAGCGCTTATTGCCCCAAAAAAGTTTTCCAAAGGGTGTTGGTTTACATTACGTAACAATAATGAATTTACTTCTTCTGCCCTTAACTTATTTGTTATTAATTTAAAACCTTCTATAGTTTTTACCCAACTGGTTAGAGATGGTACAGTTACCTTTTTACCATTAGTATTTATTTACTTCATTGACCTTAAAATGGGTAATGTTTTGTTCCATAATTTTAAATGGAATGAGTTTGGTGTGACAGCAGATCTGTATATTTTACCTTCTTCTTTATGTTAATTTTAGTCGAACAGGTTGTTGAACAGCATTATCAAATGTGTAGTGTCCACACTTTCCTCTGGCAAGCACCCACTTTCTAGAAACGAAAATTTTATGTTAAATATATATAAGTATTAAATTGTTGTATTTGCTTTTTTTTTATTGGGGCATCCTAAACTACTGGATAATGTTTAGAAGCATTTCACACCAAGTGTACATTATGTGCCTCATAAAACATGCATCATACAAATCATTTTTCGGCTACTGATATTGTTTATAATAATTCATTACTGTCCCGCTGCTAGGCACTGGCCTCTCAGAAGTAGAACGATTAAGCCTTAGTCCACATGCTGCCCTGATGTGGTTTAGCGGACTTCACACACATTGACAACTTTATGAGGCCCTCTCAGGTGTGGAGGTTTCCTCCCGATGTTTTCCAGCACTGTTAACGCAAGTAATCAATAATCAAATTCTGTTCCTCACATAACCTGCATGAAATGCAATTGTTTGACCGCTGGGCTATAATGCCATTTTGTTTTTATAAAGAAAATGTAGGTACCAAATTTTATTGAAACTCAATTCAAATTAATGTTTAATGATTATGACTTACATTACTCCCGGGTTGCCTAACAAAAATTTGTCCCACATACCTTTAATTAAATATATTGTAATTAAAACAAATTGCAAAAACATATTATATTGTTTTTGGTTAATTCACTTAATTCATTAGTTTCACACAGGTTATAAATGAATGAACAATAAATATATGTTTTATTGTACATTCATTTATAACCTGTGTGAAACTAACGCAGTTGCTATTATTAAATAAACTTAATCAAAAACTGATTTACCTGATACACCTGCAGAGGGTAAAAGCAAAGATGGAACAGCCAATTTACAAAGCCTGTTTTTTGGGTAAAGAAACTTTCTGAAAGTGCTGACGACAGATTCTATGAGTTTTACGGACAGTGGTGTTGTCCAGACTCACAATACCACCTACAATAATCTTTACCCAATTATGAAACCAATCTGCATCTTTCTCAGGACATGAAAAGTAATGTAGAGGTACACCTGAAAATAAAATAAAGTGACTATAATGGGCCTGACTGAAATGTGATTTTTAATCTTTCTAAGTTACTCTACATTATTTTACAATACATAATAATGTAATTTAATAAAATAAATAAAGTTATTGATAAATAATTAATCATAATTATTTTTCTAGATCACTTAGTTCAGAGTTCTAAAGACTAGCAGTGTTATAAAAGACAATTTCAAAAACTCAAAAGCCCGGCTAAAGGGGTGTAGGTAGATGCAGATGTATAGACCCACATTTTATGTGAGAGAGTTTATTATAATTACATATATATCATCTGATATCAAGGATGATGTTTTGTACCATAGGGACAATCAACTAAATTAATAATTTTCATCATTTTCTCAGTCGGTCTAGGTTATTTACTAAAGATAAAGAATCTTGATAATATAATTATGTCTTTTCACTTTACCTTGCATTTCAAAAATCTAAGAATTTACAAATGAAATATATATAAAACTTCTTGTGAACTCTATGTAATAGTTAAGTCGGTGGCTTGTCTTAGATTCATTAGTAAATTTAGAGATTTTTTCAATCTAAGTCAAATCTTATTTACTCATTTAGACCATATCAATAGGCACTTTTGAAAGTCGAGACTTTAGGTGCATGTTCGTAAATGTAGATTCCGATGGAGAAAAACATGCAAGAAACTCAACTTTTAATTGCAAATTGAGAAAAAAGACATGTCAAGATTGTTTACCAGTTTATCATGTTTTAGTCCTTGCTCTAAGGTTTACTATGACTTAACTGAGCCGACAGACTACGGCCCGTATTCTAAAACGACACTTGGCGACGATCTCAACTTGAGCACATCTTAGTGACGTATTTGTATGAAATGATAGACTCAAATCATTCTCAAGTAAAGCTGTGTTTGAGCGTCATTCTAGAATAAGAACCTACATGTAGCATTTATGATTTCTAAATGTTAAAAAACCTTATAGGAACCAATGGTATTTTAGAATTTTTGACTTACTGAATAAATAGAAATGTTGTTTTTTACTGCTTTTTAATTGTTAAAAACAGATTAACCAGTTTATGGTGTATTAGGCACGTGGAATATAAGCCAGCGTAGAATACACATATTTGTTTAAAAGACTATTGAGGTTATGAAACTTCAGAATATAAAAACACACTTTACTCACCATCTTCTGCTACTACTTGGCACCCAGGAACACAGAAGATATTTCGAGGCATTGTGTAAAATGTAAAATAACACTACACTGAGATATATGGTCCAAACTCCCTACGGGGGCCTATCAACATGTATGTCCAAAACACTTTCACAAAGTACAGTCTATGCTGGAATTTCGGTATTTCTGGAATATACGAAGAAACTGAAGCTCGATTCAACGTAGTAACACAAAAAACACCAAAAATTACAAGAAAATGCGCACGAGTATGCAAACACGCCGGTGAAAAATTTCTTCAAGTTCGACTCAGTGTTGCTAAAATTTGGTATCAATAAACTACTCTAAAGATTCTAAGATCGTAACTGTAATAAATACTATATAAATTATAATATCACTATGTAGTAATACAAAAAAATATAAAATATTTTTAAAATAAATTATACTGTTGTTAAATCATTTATTTTTGTGTACCTGGACCAATAAAAGAAAAATAGCAAAATTATCAGTTATTTTAAAGTACCAAGTGTTCCAAGTAAAAAAGAGTGGTCACACTGCAATAAAAAGCTCCATGTATGTGGGATAGATGGCGTTTTTCATAATAAATAAAAAATGTTTTAAGTTACCAGGGCATGATCCACACGCAAAGCTAATCGTAGAGGGCACCAGCGGCGCCATGGCTGCTGTCAAATTGTTGTAGATTAGTTTACATGAGGAGATTTTGCTTTTCTTTGTATTGAAACTGGTTGACCATCGATCATTTTAAGATGTATTGTACCTGGAAGCTTAAAGAATTGAAAGACGAACTAAAAAAACGAGGAGCGAAGATAACTGGAAAGAAATCAGATCTTGTTGAGAGGTAGGCTTGTATCTACTAAAATATTATACACCTGTAGACATATATATACAAGTTAAGGATTTGGAGCTAGTTTTGTTTGGAACGTGTTAATTATTTCTTGATCAATGTTAGGAAAATTTAGAGAACATTACTCAAATCATAAATGGTATTTTTTGCTTTTAGGTTAGAATCATATGACCGAAATTTTAATTTCGGCAATCAAAGCCCTGTAGCTTCTCAAAGTCAAGCAATTGATGTTCCTGCTGTGGAACTTTACCAGGACGTTAATAGCTGCACGATATTGCCAAAGATTACCAAAAAACATATTCAAAGTTATTTTGATAGGTAGGTAATAATTGTTTCTAACGTTTTTGTAAATATTAAAGATTATTTGTCCACTAAGTTTATTAAATAGTGGTTATATCCTTTCTCTTGATATTTAACATAATACTTTTTATTTCAGATTCAATAAAAATATCAGTGATGCAGTAAAATTGTATGAATCAAGATACCTTCTTATTTTACGATCAACAACATTTGCCCAAGATACATACTTAAAAGGTAGGTTCACCAGAAAATGAAGGTTGATGTCTCAAAAATAAATAGATGGTTAGGTGGTTAAAGTTGATGTGTAATATATTTGTCTTTCTTTTAAATATGAACATATAAATACTTCTTCCAGGTTTTTGCAAGGCATCTATGAAACAACTACAATATGAGGTAAACATCAAATTAAATAATGATGGAATGCCTGAAGAAGCAACATGTGAATGTGCAGCAGGAGAAGGCAAAGAAGCCCATTGTAAACATGTAGCTGTGGTACTTATTGCTGCTGAAAATATTGTTAAGGAAAAAATAATACTGCTACATGAAGTTACGACATCACAACTTCAAACGTTTCATAAGCCTACAAAAAAATATTATGCCACACCATTGCGAGCCTCCAGATTGCCATCCAAAAGGGATTTACATAACATTGTTTACTCTCCATATTTAAAACAAAACCCTTATTTTGATAAAAAGGCATTCCAATGCAGGTTTCAGTCCCTGATTTTAAATTATCCACTCTCATCGATGCCCCTTAAACAATTATTTCCAGCAGCTAACCAACGAGCAATATGTTTAGATCATAAATATATGGAAAAAAGTGCACAGGATGTTTTTTTAGAATCCATTAATTTACAAAATTTAACTGAAGAAAGATTAGTGGAAATCGAACTGGAGACTAGAGGACAAAGTTTCAATCCAAAGTGGCATGAGTATCGACAAACGCACATCACATCAAGTATATTTCACACTGTGTGCCATTTGAGAAGTGAAACTTTAGTAAAATATTGTAACCAAATATTAAATAAAAATCTAGTCCAAACAAGAGCGATGGCACACGGGATGATTAATGAAAAAGTAGCCATTAAAAAATATATGGAGATTTATGGGGTGGTTGTTGAAGAGTGTGGATTATTTTTGTCTCAGGAACGACCTTATCTAGGAGCATCTCCAGATGGCTTACTAGGATCGGAAACAATAATTGAAGTAAAATGCCCTTATGCTTCCAGAAACCAAGAAATCGGTCCTCTTACAGTACCTTACCTACAATTTGATTACAATGGACAACTTACTTTAAAAAAAACTAATATTTATTACTATCAAATTCAAGGGCAATTATATGTAACAAAAAGAAAATTTTGTAATTTATTAGTTTTTACCTATAAAAGTTTAAAAGTAATATTTATTGAACGTGATGAACAGTTCATTACGGATATGTTGAGAAAACTTGATTATTTTTATTACAACTTCTTTAAAAATGCTGTAACCAAGAAATATTTTTTTAAGGATTAAGATTTTATAATATGCTAGGGCTGAATCTGAATGAGAGGGTGAGAAATTGTGTGATAAGAGAAAAGTGTGTGGCTTAGCTTTCCATTGACGTCAGTGGAGTTTGGTGTTGATACGTATTTTTACAGAAAGATTACACTATTATAAGCACACACACAATGTCTCAATATACGGAAACGCGTAATTTTTTAGAAAAGAATAATTGAAAATCAATTATTCTTGCAATGTTTACGTCTAATTTGCTAATAAACTGGCGCCATTTTGTAATGTCATTGTCGACGTCAATAGGGATGTCGATTCTTTCCGAAAAAGGTCGATTTTTAAATCGATTCAAATCGTAAGCGGTTCACAAAAAATCGATTTCTAAAATGTCTATATTTTTTTAATGTTTCTATTTATAATGTAAATATAAACCCATTTTATGAAAAACAAGAAAGATACCATGATAAATGATCTCTTATTGAAATTTGTTTTATTTAACAGTACCTATTAGGGCAGATAACAAATAAAATAGGTTAGGTTCAACTTATGTCAAAGAACCGAATTGATTGACCCCGACTCCACCTGGTACGAGTCTGTCCTACCCCTAGAGTGGTTTTATAGAGCCGGAGGCGCGTAGGGGGAGCAGCCTCCGCCTGCTGTAACAAATCGTAGGCATCGGACGAGCCGGAGCGGCTGAGGCTGGTCGCCAAAGGCGACCAACAAGCCGAAGCTGCGGAGGCGAGGAGGGATGCCTGCGATTTGTTACGCTAAGGCGTAGAGGTTGCTCTTCCCGCAGCGCCGGAGACGTAGCAGTCTCAAAATAGATACAGAAATCCTTATGAATCAGTCCCCTTATTTTTTTCTCATAAAATGGATTTATATTTACATTATAAATGCAAACATGAAAAAAATATCGATATTATAGAAATCGATTTTTTAGGAATCGATACATCAGCTTACGATTTGAATCGATTTAAAAATCGACCTTTTTCGGAAAGAATCGACATCCCTATTGACGTCGACAATGACATTACAAAATGGCGCCAGTTTATTAGCAGATTAGACATAAACATTGCAAGAATAATTGATTTTCAATTATTCTTTTCTCAAAAATTACGTGTTTCCGTATATTGAGACTTTGTGTGTGTGCTTATAATAGTGTAATCTTTCTGTAAAAATACGTATCAACACCAAACTCCACTGACGTCAATGGAAAGTCGTACCAGAATGAACAAGGAAAGAGTGACAAAGCAAATTTATATAACAGATGTGAACAGCAGAGTCGGGAAGGGATGCCCTAGACTAAAGTTTATCAACCAAATTGGAAATAAATTGAAAATGGGCCAGATTAACAGAACCCTTAACCAACGAGCATGTATGACTGTATGTATATGGATGTAAAGGAGGCGAGAGAGAGGTGTGTCAGGATTGTGTTAAATGGAAGTCCGTAGTCTCTGTTTACCCCTCTGGATAACAAGCGTGTTTATATTGTTTTTTAAGATTTTATAATAAACTATATGAACAGTTATAAAAAAGCTTTTTATTTCATGATACTTTCTCTAAAATTACAAGCCATAGCACAAACAAATAAAATTCTAGATGCTAGTGGTACATGATAAGGGCTCAATTCACTTTTTAAAATCTTATATGATTTAGCTAGACCTATAATACGTTCTATATGAACTCGTTTGCTTGCTAGTTTTCTGTCCTGAATTATTCTAACACCTGGTAATTGTGTTTTTCCTTTCAAAAACATTGGTATATTAATAGTAATGTCTCTTGATGCAAAAATGTCCTGCACATTAAAGCCTCTGTCTGCCATAATAGAATCCCCACTGTCACACATATTTATTAGTTTGGATCTTTCTATAATCTGTCTATCACTGACTGAACCTCCATAACATTCAGAGACATATGATATAAGACCTCCAGGTGTTGCTCCAATCATAGCCTTCACAGTGTTTTGATGTTTGTAACTGCTGAAGGTCACCTGCTGTGCTACTGGATTCCCAGGCCGTGTGATGGGTATTTCAGTTGTGTCCACAATAATCCTAGTATTTGGAAAACCCCTTTTAAACGACTCTGGCATATAATATTGAACCAATTCTTTACTTGGCCAAATATTAATTAAAGACCATATTTCATACATAAAATTAATCCATGTTACAAAAATGTTAGCTACAGTAGTTTGGGAAATACCAAATAAAAATGCCAACTCAAAATCTGGCATATACCTTCTAAGCTTTATTAGTGTTATCAACAGTTGGTCACCGATACAAACATTGATAACTTTACTTCCCCTGTAATTTAAATTATTACACATGGGACTTAATGTGTCTAACACCAACATAAATTTTTCATATTTTTCTAGCCCAGTATAAAAATGAATAGCCTGTGGATTGCCTCTCATGGCCTCTAGTGATAAGATTCCAAAAGAACTACCACATTGAGTGCTAACAGACACTGTTTTTGGCGTAAAATCTTCTATGGGGCCCTCTATAGTAGATATTTCAATTTCAGCACTAGAAGACGGTTCTGGAACACTTTCTTCTACAGATGGTTGTATAAAATCAAGTATGCGTCTGCTTCTTTTCATATAACGACTGGTTCTTGATGTAGGTGTTGTTGACACCTGGGTGGACCAAGGGAATATACTTGGTACAGTTCCCTTTTTCAGAAACTTGCATATTTGAGGATGTCCTGTAAACAACAAAAATTGAGAAAAATAGTACAGATTAATACAAATAACTTTACTGTACATGAGTAAAATAGATTTTATGAATTTAACACCATAATCCGATGTATGGAGGCATATATTACATACATTATTTATTTTATTGGTTCATTATTGGTTTATTTACTTCCTAGCCTTTACCCGGGATTTCGTTCACAAAAACTTAAACAAAAAACTACAGTATCTACCTATATAAGTGGGCTTTGGGCAAGTGGTTCAACTTTCGAAAAACCACTAGTAGAATCTATAATTAATAATAATGAATGAAATAACACACCTGTGTAGGCTGATTCTCCTACATAATCAGATTCTTGGAAATGATTCCGACATAACCTGCTATGCTGTGTCGCTACAAAATTTTTGCGTCTTATAGCCTTTTCCCACTTTTTTTTTAATGTTGGATCTTTGGGAAATAAATGTACACCGGGGTTAGCGCATCCTGGTACAGCACAAAGAGGCATATTTCGAGAAAACTAAAATTAACAATATGCTAGGTTATGAAACGTATGGATCTGACAGTTCTCAATGGCCATGTCGATGATACGCCATCTGGCGTGAGAAATCGGCAGTGAACATTGCCATTGGATTGTACCTGCTTGTACCAGATTGTACAAAAGTTTACAGAATAAAAATGGCTTCGGCCTTAATAAGAAAAGCATTAATTTCTAATCCAAACGGTTTTCGTAAAGCTATTGGATTATTTTATAATGCTAATAGAAACCGTAATACTAGTTTATACTAAAAATATAATTTTAGATTTTTTAGAGTTACTTCACTTAATTTTTAAGTGTTACGTCACATGCTTTGGTTTTAGATTGGAATTATCAATACAAGCCAGGGCCATATCCAAGAACTCCTGAGGAGCGGGCTGCAGCTGCTAAAAAGTATGGGTTGACTATTGAGGAATATCAGCCATATCCTGAAGATATGTGTTATGGGGATTATCCAAGATTGCCTGACATCGGTACAGACTCAAAAGATCCATACTATCCATATGACTACCCAGATTTGAAGAGGAATTTTAATGAACCAGTAAGTAATATGTTTTGATATAATTGCTTGCTTGCTTCAATTTAAAACATCTTTCTCACATAAGTTCTTTTGCTTTCTTGGTCAAAATCTATACAACAAATTAAATAGCATCCTTAATAATATATATTCTAAAACCAAATTTAACTGTAAAATAATATTAAAAAAATATTTAAAAAATCTAGATTATGATAAAACAGAGCACCTTTTGACTGTACTTAAATAATCCTTAATTCAAGATATATCTACTCATAGCTGTTAACTCCATACTCACAACACACATACACATATATACACATTTACCCTACCAATAATCGCTTCGTACATACATCTGCACTCACACACTTATTGACACTTCACACCAACTTAAACAACTTATAATTTCTGCAAGATTTTATACATTCTTTTTATATCAATACCTTTTTTTGGTTTTAATTATGCCACTAATTCTGTCCGTGGGTTGGCGGCTCTGGTGACCTGTAACACAGGATTTTTTACAAAAACCTACTTCAGGCACCAGTCTCTCACAAAGCTGAAACTAATTATGGCAAATTGTTAATCTAAAAGTACTATTATTTTTTTAAGTACTATTAATTTTACCATTTAACAGTGGTAGAGCTACGCGGCAGCTTTTGCTGTCGCACGGATGGACCGGCTCGAACCGGGGTAGTACCACAACCTCACAGAAAACCAGCGTGAAGTAGAGGTTTATCTCTGCGTTTCGCTTGGTGAGTGCAGATGGCCGGAGGCCCTTTTTACTGGAAATGAGGCATTCCATCTTAGTCCTCACGGGTGACAACGCATCTACATTTTGATTTGTAACAGAGGATAGATGTTGATGTCTATGGGCCGCAGCAACCACTTACCATCAGGTGGACTGTGTGCTCGTTTGTCACCCTTATCCTATAAAAAAAAAAAACTATTTGTGAAGAGAGAATAAATGGTTTATTATTATTATTATTATATGTATGATGGGGTAAGGTTTGAAAGTAAGTTGCCTGAATTTGAGGATTCTGTCATTTTGGGGGTTCAAGGGGGTTTATCTGAAGCACCTCCATGTGATTATGGCTAGTCTTTCAAACCCAACCCGTATGATGAAACATAGCCAAATTAAATCTATACAAATAAATAAAATTGAAGTGTGGTTGTAATGCCAAAATTACAGCTTTTTACTAAATGCATATGAAAGTATATACGGTACTAATAGCAAATATACAATTTTTAAAGTTTTTGTCTGTCTGTCTGTCCATCTTTCTGTTCCGGCTAATCTCCAAAACGGCTGGACCGAGTTTGATGGAATTTTAACTGACAGATAGCTGATGTCATAAGGAGTAACTTAGGCTACTTTTATTTTAGAAATATAATTAGGATTCCGCGCAAAATAATAAAACTCCAAATAACATGGGGGCGAAATCGTGGGGAACAGCCAGTACTAAATAAAACTTAATTAATATCCAGTTTCGTAATTTGAGTGAAAAAATTCAACTTCACTTGGCTAAATTAAGACATTAATTGATTACCTTACCTTTTTTTATATTTGTTAAAGTTATTTCTTTTGTTTCTTTACCAGTAATATATTTCTTATTTTTAAAATCAAACATTGTGATCTCTTTTTCAACTGTTTGATTTTTGTCTGAAACTTTTGTACTTTCAGTCATTCATTCATCTTTGACATAAAAGTCAACAGGCTCTTGTAGTTTTGCATTTTAGTGCCATTAATTAATTTCTACTGAATTTAAGTAGCAGTGTAGTGGCGTTCAAGAATATCCACTACCCCATATCTTCCCGTGGGTATCATAAAAGGCGACAAAGGGAAACAGGCAGGATATGGGCAGCAGCATGTTACTGATAGTAGCCAAAATTACAATAAAAAAAAACTGCAGTTGCCAACCCAAGCCAATACCCCCCAATGATTAGAGCAACAAATAGACGGCCCTCAGTCCCCGCCGGCCCCGCTATTCCTGGCTACGGTGGTGACCTTGGTAACGGCGGGGCAGGGGGTGCTAAGAATCTACGGTGGAGGTTCGGTTGCCACCTTAGACGACTGGACCTGGCAACGTACAACGCACGCACCCTGAGGACTGACGAGAAGATCGTGGAGCTGGAAGAAGAGATAGACAAGTTACACTGGCATATTATAGGATTATCCGAAGTCCGAAGAGAGGGGGAGGACACGGTAATCCTTGAATCCGGCAACTTGCTCTATCACCGGGAGGGCGACCATCTGTCCCAAGGAGGTGTCGGATTTATCATCCACACACAAGTCTCTTGTTAACAATGTTGTAAAGATTGAGAGTGTGTCGATGAGGGTTGCGTGCCTTATACTCAGAATCATCAAACGGTATTCGCTGAAGGTCATACAGGTTTACGCACCAACCTCGGCACACCCCGATGAGGAGGTGGAGGAAATGTATGAGGATATCTCTAGAGCCATGCATTCCTCCAAAACCCAATATACGGTGTTAATGGGAGACTTCAATGCAAAACTAGGCACAAGAGAGAACGGTGAGCTGAAAGTAGGGAAATTTGGAATAGGGCAACGGAACCCAAGGGGCCAGCAGCTGGCCGACTTCATGGAGAAAGAGGGACTCTTTATTATGAACTCTTTCTTCCAGAAGCGGCCCCACAGGAAGTGGACCTGGTCGAGCCCCGACGGTTCGACAAAAAATGAGATTGACTTCATTATGACGATCAGAGGACAACTGTTCAGTGATGTCTCCGTGATCGAGAGGGTGAAAACTGGTAGCGATCACCGAATGGTTAGAGGCACAGTGAACCTAAACGTTAAGTTGGAAAGGTCTCGTCTAATGAAGTCAATGCTCCGTCCCCCTCGTGCTCTGTTCCAAAGTCCCGAAACCTTTCAGCTCGAGTTACAAAACCGTTTTCAGTGCCTATGAATGACAAGCTCGTGAAAACTGTCCATGCGGTCGGAGCTAAGTTCTGCAAGACCCGCCGCATAAGAACACAAAAACTCTCCGATCACACTCTTAATCTCATGGCTGTTAGACGGGAGATGAAGCTACATTCTTCAACAGATTTGACAGCATACAGGCAACTGAACAGACAGATCTCCAAATGCATGCGGCGGGACTTACGCAACTTCAATACAGCTTGTATTGAAGAAGCGATCGAGCGGAACCAAGGCTCCAAAGTCTTTGCCAGAGATCTGTCTGCCAGAAAGAGCCAACTGTCAAAGCTGAAGACCGAGTGTGGCAGCATCGTTTCCGGGGCACCTGAGATTTTGAGTGAGATTGAGAGGTTCTATGGACAGCTGTACAAGTCATCGTTGGAGCCACACGCAAGTGTGAGTAACGATCCAAGAGCGAGTCTTATCCGACACTATTCCGAAGATATCCCGGACGTCAGTGTGAGCGAGATTAGAATGGCTCTCCAGCATCTTAAAAACGGCAAGGCCCCAGGCGAGGATGAATTACAGCGGAGCTTCTGAAAGCGGGTGAAAAACCGGTACTGGAAGTCCTTCAGAGACTCTTTAATTCCGTCCTCCATGTTGGCATTACACCGGAGGCGTGGAGCAGGAGTGCGGTGATCTTGTTCTTCAAGAAAGGTGACAATGCTCTCTTGAAGAACTACAGACCGATTTCCTTTCTAAGCCGCGTCTACGTGCTGTTTTCGAGAGTCATTACGAATCGTCTCTCATGCAGACTTGACGACTTCCAGCCTCCCGAACAAGCCGGTTTCCGAAAGGGCTTTAGCACCATAGACCAAATACATACTATTCGGTAAGTTGTACAGAAGTCCGAGGAGTACAATTTGCCACTATGCCTGGCGTATGTGGACTATGAGAAAGCCTTTAATTCCGTCGCAATTTGGGCGGTGCTGCAGTCCCTTCAGCAGTGCCAAGTTGACTGTCGGTATATCGAAGTGCTGAAGTGCTTGTACAGTAGAGCTACGATGGCAATCCGAGTAAAGAACCAGAGTACGAAACCTATCCAATTGCAGAGAGGTGTAAGACAGGGTGACGTTATATCCCCGAAACTCTTCACCGCTGCATTGGAAGACATTTTCAAGCTTCTGGACTGTAAAGGATACGGTATTAACATCAATGGCAAGTACATCACTCACCTTCGATTTGCCGACGATATAGTCGTCGTCCTTATGGCAGAATCGCTGGAGGACCTAAGCACTATGCTCAATGACCTCAATAGTGTCTCCCAACGGATAGGTCTTAAGATGAACATGGACAAAACAAAGATTATGTTTAATGTCCATGTCACACCTATGCCGGTAGTTGTTGGGAGTACTAAGCTCGAAGTTGTTGACGAGTATGTTTACCTGGGACAAATAATCCAACTAGGTAAGTCCGACTTCGACCGAGAGGTCAATCGACGGATTCAACTCGGCTGGGCAGCTTTCGGGAAACTATGACACATCTTCTCGTCAGACATACCTCAAAACCTTAAAACGAAATTGTACAACCAGTGAGTGTTGCCAGTGATGACTTACGGATCTGAGACGTGGTCCTTCACTGCTGGCCGTATGAGGAAGCTCAAGGTCGCTCAGCGAGCTATGGAGAGGGCTATGCTCGGTAAGACGACCTGGTAAGACATGCAGGAAGTCGATGGATGCAGGTGGCTCAGGACCGTGCTTTGTGGCATTCCTTGGGGGAGGCCTATGTTCAGTAGTGGACTTATGAAAGGCTGTAATGATGAATTTAAGTATAAAAGTTGACCTGCTTCACTTTTAGTTCTTGTAATTTCACTTTTCAAGTTTGTGATATTGTGTTTAGGCCACAATCTGTTAATATCCGGTCTTTGGTCTGTCACATCTTGTCTTCGGACTTCTCAGAGGGAAAGGAGTTGGCAGTTTTAGATGACAATGTGGCTAAAAACAAAACCCAACTAAATACAGAGTTATGGACAACCCAATAAAAAACAAACGTCTAGCTATGGGAGAGAAATAGCCTGAGCAGGGATTAGAGAATTAGGTTAAACTAAAGTTAATAATAATATATAATTATAGTTTAATATTATACATTTGAATATATCATAAGATCATTTTGACAAAGGGTAAAAGGGTATTAATAAAGCCAGTCAATCTCATATAACTGAAAACGGAGAAAATGCTGTATCACAGTTATTAACTGCCACAAGCTACAGAGTATAAGCACCAGTTTCCCAGGAGTCAACCTGTTCATTTCCCTCTATGCCGCAAAGACTAGGAATCCACTCAGTTTTCACCTTAATCCCAATTACATCATAATTTGGTAGAGTTCTTACGGGTCTTCACTCCTTTGTTGTTGTATTCCTTGCATTTGAACTAAAAGGTTTGCTTCGTCTTTTATAATTTGTATGACAAAGGGGTGAAATAATTTGCTGGCATCTGTTTTTCCATCCGATTATAATGTGAATGTCATAAAGGCAAGGGTGAACAACCTGTTGTTACACTAAGACAGTGCAATTATCATTTTCCGTTTCCACTTAACACTAGATGGGATTATAGTGAAACAATGCCTAGTAATAAGTAATAATGCCTAGTAACTAGTAAACACTAACAAACTATTGCATTTAACTTTTACAAAATGTTAAGAGTTATTAAGATCAATAAAACTGAACATCTGATCACTTACACACATTTGGCCAATTTTCATTTATTACAATATAGTTGTAGCATATTCTTTAGGTTAAATATTTAATTTAGATGAAAATCTATCTTTATTTTACAGATTCATGCCAGACAAGAAATATTTGGGGAAGATCGTTATGATATTAGTATGAGACCAAGGTTTCCTCTTTGGTATCAATGGATGTGGTTCCTGGGTGTTGTAGGAGGATCATTTGCCCTTTACCTTTTCTTGGAAGACTACAAATTCGGAAGACCAGTAACTGCTAAGCAGTATCCACAAGAGGGGCCCCATTATCTGTTTTGTGCAAAGTAGAATAAAATTTACAATTTTATATCTCTGCCAGTATATTTATGAGTAACAGAAAAATGGTCTGAAAGGAAATTATAACTAGCAGATTGAAAGAATTGTTTTGATTGTTATAATGTAGATCTATTACACAATAAATAAATTATGAAATATTATACATTGTTGTTTTTTAAAACAAACACTTTCACCCACACTTCTAGCCACTCTCGGCGGCTTCTCCTCAATGGAGGACAATTCATACCCCTCTTCTATCTCAAGGAAGATCCTCCAGAAAACAAGACGCGTCTTCCTATACGTCTTCCTATTCATGTCCACTTGCGCAACGGCTTAATTCATTGCACGTCAGAACACAAAGTGCGCTTACCTTGACGGCCTCTGTTTCTATAATTTATATGAAACTGAATCTCCGTAGTCCGAAGGCCACGGGACCAGGAGCAACGGATTTGGTCTAGGGGTCCGACGCCGACCACGTTTCTACTGAGCAGGATAGGGAGAGCAGCGCATCGTGAGGGAAATTCCTAACCAGCTCATTGAAATTCCATGGTAATTCATCTTTACCACAATGCTTCAAATGCTCGGTGATCAGATGGAAATGGTAGAAAATAAGTTGCGTTATAAACTGAAACTCGAAGACAAATTGATCGGCACCGAATGCTGCCTACAGACACAAGATTTTTAAAAACTCAAAAGTCCGAGTTACTCAATCTAGGTTGTAACGACACCGACATTAGGCAAATTTGATTTACTACGATTTGACGGGACATCATCTTGGGCTGGTTACAAGAATCAGTTTGGTATCCTCAGCTGTGTCTCGCCAGCAACGTAAAGTCGGGAATTAGCATTTGGAAAAATCCATAATTAGGGGCTTTTTAGGTGCCAAGTTTAAAAATTAGGTACTCTAAAGTTTTCACCGTAACGAACTGTTAAAAGCAACGCAATGAAATTATTAGATATACAATAAATATAAATAGAAAGGAATTACGTGCTAATTAGGTGCTGCAAGTATACGCAATAATAAGGCGCCCCTAATAGAAATAAAGTCGTTATTTAGAACCAAGGTCATGCAAAATTCAGGTCTTCTAAAAATGGTAAAACTATAGACATCCAATATTTGAGTATTCTGTTTGAAGCCCTAGCGGCATCGGTACGGCAACAAGTATATGAAGCACGCTTGTAGAGCTCAGATACAACATCGTGTTCAAGCGCCTGAGGAAACAATTGTGGGCTGATGAGACAGAGATGCTGGTTTGTCGCGCCTATGTGTCAGCATTATCTGTTATAGAGGTAACTCTACTTTAAGCGTTTGTGGACGGCAGTCGGGACTTTGAGGTGCGAGCAACTGTACGATTAGGCCACCACCAATCATTAAAGAGCACACTGGCACATGCATTGGAGGTGGGAGATATGCAACGCGATGCGAAATTTTACCAAGTAAGGGAACTGGTAGCTGAAGAAAGGAAGTTCTGTGACGGTCCGACTTGCTATGGGTGCAGTAAAGAGAGGAACATCAGGTTCGATTGCCCAAACAAAAAGAGAAACAGGTCTATAAACTCGAGAGTTCCAGTGGAGGGTGGGCATGCTTTTCATTGATAAACGAAATCCTCTAGCATTACGGCCTCAAGCATGCAACGGAAAAAGATTTAGGTATTATCGAGGGCACTTTAAAAGAGAAAATATGCCGGTATGTAATTGACACTGGAGCATCGCAGACGATTGTAAGGTCGGCACTCCTGAAACAATTTTCAGCTATCACCATTTCAGGAACAGCAACTAGCCAACAGATGCCAATATTTGGCGATACAGATGTAGACATAAAGATTGGGGAACGCACGTACTTTAACTGTGTACTGCTGGCCAATATCAACGAAGACTGCATCTTAGGCCTGGAGCTCTGAAACAATTAGCGGTACTTTGTAGACATTCGGCCAAGGAGTGGAAATTTCCTGATCAAAAAGTGTTTAATGGTGATCCCAAACCTGGTAAAGTTTACTGTGAAAGGACACTATACTGATACCAAGTTCAGAGAATCTATTTATAGTAAAAATCAAGTTATTGTGTGGCCACAATAGTACTGACGATTTCTGAAGGAAATGTTGCTCTGAGAATTTTTTAGCACAGCATGAAACCGGGGTCTCAGCAAAATGTTATGACAAATGACCTTCTGATCATTGAGAGGGTGAAGGCTCGGTTTGATCGAAGAGCAAACACTAATGGATTTCTCTGGTATGGTTGCATAGTCATCTCAGAAAAAAAGACAAGAGGTCGAGGTTGCAAGCTCGATGAGAGCGATCGTACACAGTTTTTAAAAGGATTTATGATGATACGGCATCAAGAAAGAGCAGAGGAGAATACCGAAGGTGGTAGGTACACATTATTCGACTAGTACGATATCACGCCACGAGTGATAATCGGGACGATCATATCTAGAATCCCCTAGTCTTACGACGACAACCAGTTGCTTGGTGCATCACAAGAACGTTCCCGAAGGTAACGATCAATGGTCAAATAGATAACGCTCACACTATTGATGCAAGCAAGATACAAACTTGTGTCTACGTAGGTGCGTACGTACTTAAAGCCTTTTTTCCTTTGAACATATTGTTAATCGCGAGTGTTCTAGTACTTTTTTGGAATGACCCGGATTGGCCTAGAATGTTTTATCTTCCTGTTATTGTTTATAAAAGCGTGCGCCGGCGATCAAAGTATCAATTACTTAGGAAACTCGAATGTGAACTCTACTTCGGAAAGCTACTACGAGCAATCAACCTACGATATCTGCGATTAGTAGCTCACCGAAGCAGCTTAGCGTTTTTGAACGACGTAATTGTACACTTACAGCGTGTGTAGAAGAATTCATCCATTTCTCATTATTATAGGCATTTTTACTTACCCCGCACGTAACAATACACTTTTTGATTAATAGCTTAGTATACTTATTCAAATAGACCTCCATAGATTGCTTCACAGAGGGATATTTGTCATAAGTGTCAACACGCCTGTGTTGGCAATCGCATTTCTTTATTATTTTTAGTTATTGTCAGGAAAATGCTGCTGCGCATCTCCTGTTTTATTTCCTTCTGTCGCCTCTTACGACAACCACGGTATAATATCTGGTAGTGTATTCTCTTATGCTGTAGAAGCCAGGAAACTCGAACCGTGGCTTCTGTTGGTAAATTTTCCTGGGTACCTCGGAAAGCATGTAAAGACGCTAATCAGGCGCAGGATCAACGGCTTTACATGCTTTCCGCGGCACGGGGGTGAAACACCGCTACCTCGTGACCACGGGCTGCTATTCGCAATTTCTTGACAGAAAACCCAATAACCGCTTTTAACTTGATCCGGGATTCGAACCTCATGATCAGCAGTCGTATTCTATGACATTGCACATTTTTTTTTAATTGTAAGGATTATTTTTTGTGAGAACATATACAGGTCTAATAAGACCAGTATCAATCACTGCGTCTAGTAAGATCTAAAATATTTTGATCGCTGCTATGGCTTTAGTTTACAGCTAAGCTCTTATATCTTTTAATCAAATGAAGGCTAATGAAGCTGTGAGCATTGCTACTTCTTTTGGGCTAAGTGTGTAGCTTCCAATCTCAAAGTAGGTATATAGTCTAAAATCAGTCAGGATGGGCAGTTTTTCTTTCTTTTGAGAATCAGAATCGGCACATCCTTGAGTTGCATAGTTCCAAAATGTTTTCTTTCCAACGTGTTTTTTGAACTGCAATGTCTGGTCTGCATCGGATGGTATGTTGTCAACTCGCTAAGCGTACTCCTGCGTGAGGCCATTGAATCAACTGACTCGCAAGTAAATCGCGTATAGGTACGTTGTAATAACATATCAGTGGGTAACAAGCGAGTACAGTCCACCTGATGATAAGTGGTTGCTGTGGCCCATAGACATCTACATCAATCCTCGTTTGCGAATCAATAAAAATCAATAGAAAGGGTCACCGGTTCTCTACACTCACCATACGAAACACAGAAGCATTAAGTCGCTATTTTATGTTGGTATTCTGTACGAGCGTGGTTCTTCCCCCGGTCGAGTCAACTCATTCGTGCTACAAATATATTAATATAGCTGCAGTATGGTTCTAACACGTTTAAAAATATAATTTCGATTAAAGAAATAATATGTCGATCGGAAAAATAGGTAAGTTCAAGTTTACTACTGACGATTGAAAATTATAATATACTAGCTGTTCTCCGCGACTTCGCCCGCGTGTTATTTGGCGTTTTAATTATGTTGCGCGGAAACCTAATTCTTTTTCTTAAATATAAGTTACTCCTTATAACATCAGCTGTCTGCTAATGTAAGTCCCGTCGAAATCGGTCTAACCGTTTCGGAGATTAGCCGGAACACATAGACAGACAGACAGAAAAAATTTAAAAAATTGTTGTTTTGTTATAAGTATGCTTGTTCTTGAATTTCATTGTCTCCACCCGGACGAAGAGTTTGGCAATATCCACGTATACCTTTCTAGTCGAAATAAGTAATAGAAGACATTATTTTATTTTTAATAAAATAAATTATTTAAAAAAGGATTGTGTATTAAATAAAACAATAAACTTTGTACTAATCTATTTATAAATACTTGTAAAATATTCGTCTTCTAAATCATATAAATCGGCAGCTATATCATCTCTGAGGGACATCAGTTTTTGATCACATTCTTGCTGTTTTGTGCGGAAGAGTTTGGAATTTTGTGTTATTGCTTCATTAACTGAAGGGAAGTCATTGAGTATTAAATACTGCTTAATGTCTGAAACTAACTTCATTAGGGATTCGCCTGCTCTAACTGAAAATAAAATTAAAAGTTTTCAATGAATTATTGTACACAATATGTATAATTAAAAAACACAATATGATTAAATTACCAATATTAGCTGCTCTAACTTGCATCTCATATGTGTCTTGCTCAATTTGCGTCATTCTATTAAGCTGTGAATCATTTTCACCCTTTGCAAGTTTAATGATTTCTGAAAGAAATAAAAATAAATAACTAATGATTTGAAAAGTTTATGTATAAATCAACTTTTAAGCTATTTACGGTGAGAGATTGAAGGATTGAACTCTCTTACACGATCTAATGATATTCATTAATTGAATACAGCCTATCAAAACACAAAGGCTGAACATGGGCTACATACATATGAGAGATATTTGCAAGAATTGCCTTGCTTGCCAAGGAGGTTGGCAACCACAGCTTTTATTATTTTTATTTGTGGCAACAAGAATATGCTACTGCCAATCTCCTGTTTCATTTTACTTTGTCCTCTTATGACACTCACTGGATGATAATGGGGTAGTGAACTCTTTCTAATAGACTTGCCGCCACTAGACAGCAACGGAACAATACATAAATTGATACATTAAAAAGAACATGTTCTCTGAATGCACTAAGATCACCAACAATGAAAATGAACCTAAGTCAAAAACTCCTCATATTAAGTAATTAGATCAAAAATGTCCTCTTCCGGTCCTCGAATAGACTCACTATTTAGTTTGGCTTCTGTTAATCTAAAAAAGTGGAGCTTGCAAATTATGCGTACTATTTTTATATTTTAGCAACAAATAACCTTATTTCAAAATTTCTGAATTTTGTTAAGAATAAATCAATTTAAAAACAACGGACAGTTGCGAGTACACTCGGGCCCTGGGGATTGCGTATAAACATAATAACCTATGTACTCGTAGTGTATTATAATAGAAACGAAAAGGTATGTCTCATTGAAGGACAAACAAAAATAAGTGAAAGGATGCGGTATTAACATCAATGGTGAGTACATCACTCACCTTCAATTTGCCGACGATATAGTTCTTATGGCAGAATCGCTAGAGGACCTAAGCAGTATGCTCAATGACCTCAATAGTGTCTCGCAACGGAAAGGTCTTAAGAAGAACATGGACAAAACAAAAATCATGTTTAACGTCCATGTCACGCCTATGCTGGTAGTTGTTGGGAGCACTAAGCTCGAAGTTGTTGACGAGTATTAGAGAGAGTTTACCTGGGACAAATAGTCCGACTAGGTAAGTCCAACTTTGACCGAGAGGTCAATCGACGGATTCAACTCGGCTGGGCAGCGTTCGGAAAACTACGACACATCTTCTCGTCAGACATGCCTCAAAACCTTAAAACGAAATTATACAACCTTAGTAAGCTGAAGTGGCAGTGGGCCGGCCATATAGCTCGAAGAACCGACAACTGATGGGGAAGAAAGGTTCTTGAGTGGCAGCCTCGTACCGGTAGGCGAAGTGTAGGGCGACCCCCACGAGATGGAGTGACGACCTGGTAAGACATGCAGTAAGTCGATGGATGCAGGTGGCTCAGGACCGTGCTTTGTGGAATCCTTGGGGGAGGCCTATGTCCAGCAGTGGACTTGTGAAGGGCTGTAATGATGATGATGATGATGACTTTGGGTAATTAATCTATAGGTAAAAACTTAGTGTAGTGAAGTCCGAATTATAATTTTAATAACAGATTTATTAACTTGACTTAGCTGACTTATTGACGTAATATTTTAGGAGTAAACTAAGACATAAGTTCTAAGTCATGAGGAAAAAGATTGAACCTTCAAATCCATTATAGGTTTTGTACCATCTAAAATTTCTTACCTTCAAAATTTTCAAGCATGCTTTTAACATCTTCTTTCAGTCGTGTTGTGTAAGATTTTAAAAGGGCTTCTTTGTTTTGCGGTAAGTTTCTATGCATTTTTATTCGTAACGTCTTCTATATTATAATGTATACCTTTTTTATCACATATATATTGATTGATTAGACTTGTACCTACGTGAACAATGATAATTAAATTGTTATTATTGTAGATACATACGAGTTGTATATATAATTACATTGTTCACACTTTTCTTTTCATTATTTATTTTACAGTTTTTTTATAACTGGCTTTTCGGTAGGGATGTTCGATAATTATCGATGTGCGATGATCATCGATGTTAAAAATAAAAACATCGATGTTAAAACATCGATGTTGACACATGTCAAACATCGAAACATCGATGCCAATGAACCCATAATCGATTATTGGGAACTTGCTAACAATGCGAACGCACGAAATCAATATCAACTAAATCTTGCATCTCCTCTGACAATTTAAAATTTTTAATAATTCAGAATTCCTGAACGTATCGCTATCCTTAAAAAATATTAATATGATGTGTCAAAATTAATTGTCACCTGTAATGTCACAGTGATCAGTGCTTTCGCTTTATTTTGTAGTGTCGGTGTCGGTTGTCGCATAATAATTATTCTACTTCTTCATCTTTTATATTATGGCTTCTCTTGATAGAATTGTGCCAGTGTCAAGTCAGTCATGGGAGTGACAAGTAAATATTTATTACATTAAAGAGTTCTCAATTTTACAAGTGGGTTCACAATCTACAATAAAAGACTTTTTTAAGTACCATCACCAAAATTGATTAGTAATTTTATAGTTTAATATTATTAGTACGAATAAAATCACACAAAATATTTACAAAAGGAGTATACACTAGGGACAACAAATACTGGAAATTTACAGGACGCGGGACGTAATGGGGCAGGATATCATAGAGAGAGTGAGAAAGATTAGGACACTCAAAAAACAGATGATTTACGGATCATTCGCCTAGCCCACATTCACAGATTGAGCTATCCCTAATCCTTAGTTTTGCCAAGTGTATCGGAGTACAAGCATGTCCAAAGCGAAGGCGACAAACAGTAGATGTGATTGTTTTATTAAAGTGGCGATATTGAAAGAACCAGGGTTTTGATGGGATATTAGTTTGGACTTTGGAATAGTATTTACATTTTAAAAGTTTAGACTGATGCCAGATACTTTGTCATGTAGACAGAAGGCTGGATCCAGCCTGTGGTAGGAGGTCATATGCATAGAGGCATTGTTTAGGGAGGGGGCCAGATTTGGTGGCTTCTTTAGCTACATGATCCGCAATTTCATTACCCTGAATCCCGCAGTGGCTAGGGATCCAAGCCAAGACAATTTTCAGCCCTTTTTCATGGCAGTTGTACAGAGACTTTCTAATATTTAAAATTAGGGGGTATCTTATCTAAGAGTGAAAAGGACTGGATGCTATGCTTTGAAGGCAACTGAGTGAGTCTGATAAAATGAGAGTCCTTTCCAGATTGTGAGATTTTGCATATAAGATTGCTTCTAAGATAGCTAAAGAGTCACCTGTGAATACAGATGAGTCAGGTGGGGAGTTAAAATTTAAAATAATCTCGTAGTTGGGGATCCACACTGCGGATTCAACTAATCCCTCGTCACTTAGCTTTGAAGCATCAGTGTGCATAATTAACCAATCATGCCAATTTTGGAGGAGCAGCATATTTAATTTGTTATTTACTTCAATAGTATTCTTATCTAATCCGAAATTTAGAGTTGAAAATTAGAGCTTCGTATGGGATATTGAAAAGTGGATTGCTGCGGGATTGATAAACAGGAGAGTGAACATTGACTAATTTAATGTAACTTTTTATAATACATGGCAAATCTTTGTGGGAACAATATGAAGATTCCCTGACCGACTGATACAAGGAACGAAGTTTGGATAGGAGAGGATGGTGTAAATAACAAACAGCTTTGAACAAAAACCTATCTGAGAGATATTGTCTACGTAGAAATAAGGGGGGCTCAACACATTCAACTTGTAGAGCAGAAATGGGAGTAGATTTCATGCCACCTGTTATTATACGTAGACATTTTGACTGAATTTTGTCCAAGGTATTAAGAGCCATTTTGCTACATGGCTCTAGTAAAAAGCAGCCATAGTTAAAATGACTTCTAATAAGGGCATTGTATATTATCTTTTGGGAGGAGGGGTGGGAACCCCACCTGGCACCTGACAGGGATCGGATTACTTTGAGGTTTTTTTCACATTTGGAAGCAATATATGATAGATGAGGAATTCCTGTCATTTTGTTATCTAGAATAACTCCTAGAAATTTTACCTGATTTTCAGTGGGGATTAGGGTATTATCAATATATATGGACACTTCTGGTATTTGCCTTTGCCTAGAGAAAACCACAGTACTGCATTTCAAAGGAGATATTGATAAGCCATGCTCAAACAGCCAGTTATTAAGAAAGTTGGCAGTTGGGATAAACGGGAGGTAGCTTTGACAATAGAGGCATCAGTTACAAATAAGGCTAGATCATCTGCATATTGCAGGACATTACCTAAGTAATTCACAGATCTGTCTAGATCATGAGTGTAGAGACTGTATAACAAAGGGCTCAAGACAGAGCCTTGTGGTAGTCCCTTCCAGGTAAATCTAGCTGGGAGAAATCTTCCTTCAGAACGGACTAATATGCGTCTATGTGAAAGTAAGTTTGATACGAAGTTTGTTATTCTCTCAGGAATGTTCAGCTGATGCATTTTTTGCCTGAGCGTGGGAGAACAACATTATCATATGCCGCACAAACATCAATAAAAACGCCTACCAGAAAATTATTATTGGAGAAGGCAAGTCTTATATCGGATACTAAGATGCTAAGGCTATCCATTGTGCTAAAACCTTTTCTAAAACCAAACTGGCTCTTTGGTATAATGCCTCTATTTTCAAGAATCCACTCAAATCGATTTTTTACAAGGTGCTCCATGATTTTAGACAAGGTTGATGAAATAGCAATAGGGCGATAACTTAATGCTGAAGAATGCTGAAGAAGGGTCTTTACCAGATTTTAGGATGGGTATAATAATATGGGTTTTCCAATCATCAGGAATGGAACCAGTTGTAAAAGCAAAGTTAATGATGTTTAAAAAGAACTGTTTACACTTAGTACCCATATTAACTAGAAATGAGTAGGGGATACCATCAATGCCAGGAGTGGAATCCTTTAGGTGCCTAAGTACTAACTGCAGTTCAGCTATTGAGAACGGTTCATTAAGGTTATTAAAAGAGTTAGGTGAATGAGGAGGAAATGATTTAGAGTTAGGAAATATCCCTTCTTCCAATGGAACCCATGGGGGAGCCAGTCTGTTACTGAAGTCGTCTAGCCAGTGGGAAGGGTCTGTACAAGGGGGTTTACTATAATTAAAAGCACCACGGAAGCGCCTGATACTTTTCCAAACAAGAGAAGAAGGTGATCGGGGATATAGGCTCTCACAGAATGAAAGCCATCCTTTTTTTTTCTTTTCGGAAAGAAGTTTTTTGGTCTGGGCAGCTATTTTTTGATAATCTAGAAAATTTTCCATGGTCATATTAGAGGAATATAGCCTTTCTGCAGCCTTTCGTTTTCTAATAATTGGGGAGTAGTCTGCATCCCACCATGGAGGTGAAGAAATTTTTTTTTGTGTAGGAATTCTTCAAAGGGAAAATTTTGCTGGCTATATTATTCAGAAGGGTTATAAATTGGGAGTAGACACTCTGAATGTTATCTAAAGAAACTGGGGGAAGGTTACTGATATGAAGTTCTGATTCTGAGGAAAATACATTCCAATCAGCTTCAGACAGGTTGAATTTGAAAAGATGGGATATACTTCGAGTAGGGACACATCTATTACTTAGGTTTAAGAGGATGGGAAAGTAATCACTACTAAAAGAGGAAGGAAGAGTTTTCCATGATATGCTAGCAGCCAAGATTGGAGAGCACAATGACAAGTCTACTGCGGATCTAGTATTCTGCAAAGGGTAGGACATTCTGGTGGGAGAACCATCATTTAGAAGACAATGATTAAATTCATTGAAGACATCAAGTAGCGAATAAGAAAAAGAGTCAGATTTATTGGAACCCCACATAAAATGATGACTGTTGAAGTCTCCTAGAACAATGTAAGGTGGGGAGATGCTTGATAGAATTAAATTCAGTTCTGAAATACAAGAAGGAGTGGGAGCTGGAATGTAAATGGATAGAATTGTGATGTCCAAAGCCTTAACAGCTACTGCATTAATATTGCCTAGTATAGGAGGAAGCTGGATAGGTGATAAAGGAAAGGTCCTGTTTAGTAGAATCAGAGCAGCGTCATAGCCGTCACTCCTATCACTACGATAACAGGAGAAGCCTGGAATTCTAAATGTGGACCCTGGTTTAAGCCAGGTTTCAGATATTGCAAGTATTGAAGGATTATAAGAGTTAATTAAGTGAATTGTATCAGGTTTGTTATTCCTCATGCTCCGAAAATTCCACTGGAGGAAGGTTAGGGACTCAAACTTTATATATTCTGGAGAAGAGGACATCTAGTTTGTTTTTCACGTTGAACGGTAAATGGCAATCATCAAATTTGCCAACAATATCTGTAAGGGAGGCCACAAGATTATTTTCTAGAAGATTATCATTAGAGGATATTACATTGTTTTGTAAAGCATGTCCATTGGGGAGAGAAGAGGAAGGAGTACTTGTAATGTTATCATGTGAAACTTTATCATAACCTACTGAAGATTGCGCTGGGATAAATTTGGCTTTAGAGATGGTTTTCCTATAGAATTGGGAAGGAGATGGATAAGTAGGAAGGTTTCTAGGTACCTGAGTAGAGGGGAGATGGCTTGCAGGAACTTGTGAGGATGCAACATCAGAATAAGGTCTTCTGACAGCTGGGAAACGGGCAGAAGCCTTAAGATATGACACATTCTCTTGTGACATTAACATCTTGATAGCTTTTTGCCTTGAGTGTTCAGGGCAACTTTTTTCAATGGCCGAATGGTTTGCAGAGCAGAACAGACAGGTTGGGGAATCTGTGGGACAATTTTCTCCAGTA